CCATGAGCTCTTATGCATATTATTGACAAACTAATAACCACTGCTAATCACCTAAAACCTTATCACCATTACCGTTATCGGAATCATTCGTGGATGTATCTCTTAAACTTTTTTGACCGAATATGTTGGACCTATCAGTAGCAGCAAGGAACTTTGTCCTTAGCAGTCGTACTATTATGTACTGTTGATCAAAATTTCCGTGGATGTGCGACGATCCAATTGAAATTGCTCGAATAATGTTGTTTTCTGTGTTGGGTGTCAATGTGGCCCTGGTGGCGGGACTATTCGCGTTTTTGAAATTGGACGTGATAGATACGTTGTACGGTTCGTTGCAATTGTTTATAGTGTTGCAGTTTACTTATTTTATTATTATTTTGCAAGGGTAAGTTCCTTTTTTGTTGCATATTGATCGAGCGAGTTAAAATTGGCAAGAATATTACCAAAATTGCTTAAAGTATACAGTAACGGATCAAAAAAGGTCCCAATTACCGAAATGGTACATTACATAACAAGTGTGGAAAGTAATGCATTCTTAACATAGATCATTCGTCCCGCTTTTGAGCTATGTGTCCCACTGGCCCCAAAGAACGCAAAAATGTCACGCTTTAAAAAAAATTGATCGGTAGAAATACATTCTATCAAAAAAAGAGCGTTTTCTCTAAAGAATAATATGGACTACTGAAGATAACGTAACAAGCTGCCCCCCCACCAGAAATTAAAAAATTACCACCCTCAGAGACATAAATTTTAAAAAAGTGCCGGCTAGCCCCCCTAAGTTTATATTTTTTTTAAACTGTGTTCACCATATGATTACGGCGTCCTCCATAAAGTTGGGTACATATAGAAAACATTTTTTACTTGCAATATATCAAGAAATTTTTATATAAATAAAGTTTCTGTTTGAAAAATATGTTTATGACCTATGTAAAACTTGTGTCAATCAAACTGGCAAAATTTTTGATTGTTAGTGCTAGGTTATTTGCAAATTATACCTAAATTGTCAAAAATTCATTTTTTTTTTTCAATACTGGAAATTGCTAAGAAATAAAGGACCTAGAAAAAAAAGGTATAAGAAAACGTGGTGTATTTTTTAAAGATCAGAATTTAGCTTAAAACGTTATTTCGATTAGAGCAGCTTTTTGGTTTGGTGTCCTTAAAATTAGATTTGAACCAGTGGGAGCTAAACGCCCTGGTCTTACTTCCATCGACACACGATCTCAGTGTTAATACTCTTAATTAAATTAATTTCATATAGTTTTATTAAAATTAACGAATTATTTAAAATTATAAACGAAATAAAAACAGAAATGCTATTATTTATCGAATCTACACGAAAATAACTTATTTTTACGTATATTTAATCTCAATAACTAGAAAATATACTGATAATTAGTTTGACGGAGTGGTTACTTTTTTAAAACTTAAAAAATAGTAGTAATCGGGCGACCAAAATATGGACTGATTGGTGAATTTAATTTTTTTTTGCAGTCTTCTCACTAGATAGAATGGATATGAAATGTATTCGTTCAGGGTACAATGGCGAGACGTCTAAATAATTGAAGTGAAATCGTGCATTCGACTATTTGCATCAGTGCACAATGAGTTTATGTGAGATTTTGTTTATCCATTATTACAAATATGTGACCACACGATTGGACACGCTAAAACACCTAGCTGTATGATTTACACCTAAATTCTTCAAATAAAAGTTGTTTGTGATATCATTCTCTATAATTTTTGTTCTAAACATGATTTCTCTAAAATGGACCGTAATGGAAAAATTTGAGGAAAATTGTGAATTTTTCAGTATTTTCGTTGGCAGTATAAAAAAAAATGTTTCGAGTAAGGTGTGTTTGGAAAATGAATATAATTATTTCACCCTCTAAACATTTACTGGGGTGATACAATAGGTTGTACATAATAACCGATAAAAATCTGTAATAACTAGACAGAAAAATCATGTTTTAAACACATCATTTTTTTTTAAATAATAGCCGTAGACGCCATGACTTGAAAATTGTGTCAGATAATGAGAATGTTTAACAATCATCATTAAATAGTGCATAAAACCTATATTGGGGATAGTTTTTAGGAATCCTTATAAAAAAAACTGTTCTCTGTTTTTAACCTGTTAACTGGATTATCGAAAAATTGCAAAACTCTTGGTATTTATTTTTTAAGAAAATACAAATATTAGTTTTCACGTCTTTAATATCTCCTAATTTTGTTTGTTGCACTGATCATGGCTCAAAGATAATTTTAGAATTTGTACTCCATAAAATATTTAAGATAAGCATTCAGTTTATAGTATGTAATATTTAAATTAAGAATTAATCTTTAATTATGTTATATAATATTTTCATACAAAATGTTTCCACTGCTTCCTAGCTATTCATGTTTGATATTGTTTGGAATTACATTACATGCTTGTGTGTCAATGTTTATTTATGCTATTTTTTTTGTCTGAATTCTAGTTTCTCAAACATTTATTTTGTGCTATTTTCATTAATTTTCTAATAAAAATGAAATAAACTTCGTTACTTTTCATTTCCATCACCTACTTTCTATTCTTCAGCTTTCTGTCACTTTGTAGAGGACTGTCAATTATGATTAAAAAAAAACACATTTCTTAACTAATAATTTAACTAATAATTTAAATATATTAAAAAAACGATTATAAACAATTAAAAGTTATTCAGAATTTTTTTTTTTTAAAATCATAATTAGCAATTGTCTAGAAAGTTGTAAAAAAAAATTTGAAAAAAATTGAAATACTCCATTTGTTTATAAACAAATTGAGGAAAAAAAATTTTTTTAATTAATAAATGTCTTTTCTCGATAATAAAACAGTAATATAATAAATTGAAAAAAAAAAATTTTTTATAGCACCACTGACTTTTCTGTTTTTGTAAACTTTAAAAAATTATTATAAACAAAGTATTAACATTTTTTAAACTTTTATGAAGCTATTTTGTTTTATATGTATATAAAAAGAGCTCCACGAAGCAAAAAAAAATTTACGGTAATTATTAATATTTTTATCAATTTGTAATGATGAGAGAAATTCTAAAAATTTTGTTAATTAACAATAACCTACTTTGTTGGAAAATTAATTTTTATAAAAAATTCCAACGGGAATGAATTCTTCTAAGTGTTTAGAATACACCGTAATTTTTTTAAATTTTTGAATTTAATTTTATTAACTTAAAAAAATTATTTTATGTAACGTACTCGGTTTCGACGCCGTGCGCGCAACCTAAAAATGGCGCGCGGAAGGCTCTTTGAGCGTTAAATTAAAATTATAAATAATGGAGATACAGTGCCGGGAGTCGGAACTTATTTATAGCAAATTTCCTCCTCTTTTTTGAAAAATCCAAAAAATATTTATAGTTTACAAACTATAGGCGAAAAACCAAACACCATATTTTTGAGGTGTTTAATTGTTTATAACTTTTGCAATTTTTTATGCACTGCAAAATTTTTCTTCACACATTGATTTAGACATTATTCCGAATCGAATGAGCTATTGAACATAATTTTCGTAATAGTATGTCCCAAAAACACGCTTTTGAACTTGTTGATTAGACTATAGCAGTTAAGTAATTTAGCAATTAATTTGAAATATATGAACTCGTCTTTTTTAAAAGTCTCAGTCGCTACGCTCACGATAAATTAACCTTAATATTGTGTTGCGTTATCCCCTGTTAAATTTAATTAACTTTAGAAAATGATATTGTTCCTAAATATGCGGGATGTGGCCTACTATAGTTCAGGCCAGGGCCGTTGCAACCCACTCGATGTTGGCCCATTAATGATCTTAAATAGTTTTTGATCAACTTTAACTTTGAGAAAGTTCTCTCCGCTGAAGCAACCGATATAAGCATTGTTAACAAAATTCGCAAAGCTGCGCTTGCATTTGGAAAAGTGTGAGTTAAATTATTTTAAATAATATGGTCTAACATTTGTGTCGGCGTTTCAAAGTAAGATTTTTAAAAAATTGCAACTTGTGTAACACTTATTCAAGCTGATACCTAAAAGAACCAATGGCATCAATTCTGCTTGACCATCTAGTGTCATAAAAGTAATTTTAAAGTTAAATTGAAAATATGTTCTTTTAAAACAGTCCTAATTGAGGCCGAAAAAAATTGTAAAGTTCTTAAACTGTAGAAAAGAATAGTTACTTTTTAATACATCATTTACAAGTTTAAACTGTGATTACAACAAGGTACGAAAATGATTTTGGATTTAAACCGGCATGTTTACCTCGCATCTTGTCATCATTATCGTCTCCCTGGCCTTTTATATTATATACATTTAAACTGTTTTTTAAAGCATTTAGTAGAACTTTTTTTAAACCCTCAGCTGTTGTGTCCTCTAGTGTAGCAAAATGTAAGAAACGTTCCTCAACAACAATTTCCTCCGTTGATTCTAAATTTACGAATCTGATACAAACAGAAATTTGTTCTAGATATCTCTTGTCCGGAGTGTAGTAATAGAAAAATATTTTGAATTTTTGACCATATTTAAAATATTTTCTCTTAAATGATTGCCTATTATTTCAATTTATTTCATTATGAATTTGGTTGCCAATATAATGATTCATTTTCTTGCTCTGCATTTGTACCCTCTTAGTATGTTCAACCATAATTGGATTGAATTTGGCAATCATTTCCACATATTTCAAGAAATTACCGTTATACTTTTGAAACAACTTCAAATTTTGACCGCGGAGGGTCAGATTTTCTTTAGCTAAAAACTGAATAATATAAAATAAACCAATATTTAATTTCAGTATTAAACAAATATTTATTTCAATCGTATTATTTATTTTAAATTTAGTTAAACAGTCAAACCATCTTTTAACATTTTCTCAATTTACTTTTTTCGTGAATGTTTAAATGTTCACTCAAATATTATAACATGTTATTAAAAAATATACAAATTTTATAAATTATAAAAATGTTTCTATTTGAAAATATTTTTATATCTTTCTGTTACAGAGTGAACAAAATGGTGGACATTGTTACGAACAGGGTATTTGATACTTACAATAGATTCTCTCCATCAAACAATCATCATTCTGAGTCTCTAGCTACCTTAACTACACTTAGGAGGTTTTCCAAAGACCAAAAATTCAAGAAAGCTCTAACACGAGAGGCGGATATAAAAGTGAGTACCTAATACCTATCTACACTTACATATTTTTAAGCTGTTGAAATGGTAAATACAAAATATCGATGATTAAAGACCCTAGCTTAGAGCATACGGGAAACTTCCGGAATCAGACATTTATTTTCAGGTAGACCTGGCCGTTTATATTACTTCGAAATACCAGGAGATATATTCTTCCGTTGTGTTGAATGCCGCCCCAAACTGTCAATCCACCACCGCTAAATGCAACTTGGGGACGCATATTTTCTTCTAAATAACGTTCTCCTCGTCTCCGCCAAGTTAGCAATCGGCCGTCGAAATGGTAGAGATTGAAACGGCTTTCGTCAACGAAAAGACAGTCAGTCGACCTACGATCAATGTGACTAGATTTCTGTGGATGTTTGTCGCCAAATTGGCTGTCACATGCCACCTAAAATCGCAATGTTGTCAGCGCCTCATAAATCGCCCAATTTGCTATCGCCAGCACAAACTCGAAAAATTTAAAAGACTAAAAACAGCATAAAAAAAGATATAGATTTGAGCTTTGACCTCACACAGATTTTATTTTAATTTGGAAAACAACATTTTAAGATTTTTTAATTTACATAATCAATGGTTTTTATTTTTTTTAAATAATTTATCTAATATTTCAAAAACATTATTATTTTGTGAAACATCTTCTAAATTTTTATATACATATCGGCCTTAAATCTTAACAACATATTCGCTTGCTGAGAACAATAGTGGCGAAACTCGGAAAACGACAGTTTTAAGTCCACCAAACGACACCCAAATGAGTTATCTGTTTAGTGCTAGAGAGACGAAAAGCTACCTCACTTCCTTACTCGTAGATGGCAACGTATGGCAATGTAGTTGTTATTATACTTAAAAGTTTAAATGCGATTATCTCAAAATTACGATTTTGGAGTTTCGCCACTATGGTTCTCAGCAGGCGATCTTTACTAGGTTGAAAATTTTATAACATATATCATTTATTGAGAAATGGTAGGTATCTTATTTGAATAATAGTATTTAAAAAGGAAAGCATCGTTTTATTTCGATTTTTGGTTTTGACAATGTTAATTATAGGAAAGTAAACTAAAAGAAAATAATAACAAATCCGGAAATAATAATTCTGTTTTATTATTCAATTTAATTATTTTTTGCCAAAGCAAAACAGAAATTTCCGGAATACAATTTTCAAATACTTGCAATACAAAATAAAACAACCATCCAGCAAGTGGCTGGGCTGGATACTTGTCGACATAAAGTTGGTTTTTCGTTTTCGACACCTTCTTTTTTCATGAACAAGAAAAAATCGCTATATATTTAGAATTGTAACCGAAAAATCGCTTTGCGATTTTATAAAAAAAAAAAAAACGGTAGCAATAATTTCTAGAAAGTTGCCCAAATTGCAATATACCGACAATCTGGCTACGATACCAATTAGCCTTTTTCCTGGGAAGATTTAAAAAAGATCCGCTAGGGGCAGCACCGGTGGGGGGTACACATGTTTCGAATTCTCTATTGAATGTTTTATTATTATTAGAATAAATAAATATTGTGATAAAAAAAATAAAAAAACAAATTGTCATGCCTACAAAACATTGTGCGTTTGCTAATTGTCTGACAGTCGTTACAAGCAAGACGGTGTAAAATTTGTACTTTTTATAAAACCACAAGTTGACAAAAAAAAGTGTTTGGAGTGGATGCATTTATCACGAAGGGCAGATTTAACAGTTAAAAAAATAAAAAAAACTTACTTTTATTTGTACAAGACATTTTTTTAATTCAAATGGACCAACAATAGAAAACCCAAATCCATTGCCAGCGGCAGTTTCAAAGGTTAGTAATTGTTTATTTAAAGAGGTTATATTTTATATCAGTCTACATATTATCATTATTGATAGTAAATAATAAACTTAAACTTTTTTTTTATTGTGTATGAACTATAAAATTTTGTAGTTTTTATTATCAAACGATTTATTAGATTCCCAAAGATGTATTGAAGGAGACCAAGCACTAGAAAAAATATACGTCAAAAACTTACATGTTCTACTCTTACTGATGTTGAATCACTAACTGGACAAATTAGTAATAAAAATGCAAATAAAAATCAAGAATCCCAATTAAATAATGATTTAGCCTCTGATCTTGCACTTTTGCAAATTTCAATTTCGCTCTAGGTACATCATTTTCCGTTAATTCCATTATAAATCTACACGTTTGACGTTGTTGTCAATAGAGAATTCAAAACATATGTACCCCCCACCGGTGCTGCCCCTAGCGGATATTTTTTAAATCTTCCCAGGAAAAAGGCTAATATGTTCTTGGGCCCATTTTCTCCTGTTTACCCTTTGAATGTCAGTTAAAAGTGGGCATTTTGTTCGACGGCGAGCATGTAGGCGACTTCTAATTTGAAAACATTCCCATTACACCTATCCTCACACGTTTCCGAACCATCAGGCTTCTCGCACGCTGAAAGGCATCAACACACACTCCCCAGACACACTATAAACTCGACGCCGCTTCCCACTATTTCGAAAACCGAAAAGAAAAATGCCGCAACCAAATCTAAGACTACTTTCTGACTCCCAAGACCTCTCCCTCACCGCTTAACTTCAGGAACTGCTGGACTCAGCTCCCCTAAGCATCAGATAGAACCCTTCCCAATCATATAATTAGAAGTCAAAATATTTGCACAGTATCGTGATTTAGGTTTTCGTGGTTTCTCTAAATCATAAATCATATTTCACACCTTGTATTATGGACGTGTCTATTTATGAGGTTGGAAATAGAAAAATTGTTGATATTTTTCGGGAGCACAAACTGCCACTCAGGTCCCACACACGCGCACACGACAACTTAGGAAACATAGCTAGGTTACTTATTGTAATCTGGGCAAACCACCCTAAAAAGGAGCATAACTTCTATAACATGGTATTAGAAAATGGAAAAACTTATGGAAAAAAAAGTCACTATTAAACTAAAAAAAAAGTGTCTGCTGCAGTTGGGCTCGGGTTCTCTTGGCAGGCCAAACTCTGTTTCTGATTGCAATCCGTATTACTCCTATACAGTAACAATGTCGTTTGCTGTATGGAGATCGATAAACAATAAATATTGACCGGGCAGGTACTTTTAGCCCGAAACGATACGAACATCATAGTGATGAAGTGAAATATTGAAGAGGTGATTTTAAAATAACAAATTATTATAATTGATTAATTAAATAATAAATAATGCTTACTTGTTATCATACTCTTTAGTCAAGCTGTCTGACTACTTACGTAATCAATATTATATATTGCCATAATATAGTAATTATTTAAACAGCTGATAGGGTTTTATTAATGACATATATTTATTTCTTTTTGTTTTGATATGTATTTATAACATATTGTTTTGCGTTATCCATTCTTTTCGTGCTGTGATTGGTGCGCTAACCATCGAATGATTTGATAAATTTTCTTCGTTAAAATGATAATAAATGTATCGATCGCCATTGTTCATTGTAAGCCAATTTTTAGTCCGATAGCCGACAGTAGTAGTACTAGTTTATTAAAGAAATCGTATTGGTTTAAAAATAAAGTTAACCTCCTATTTAAGAAATGCTTTTTTTACAATAAACACTTTATGTCCGTTTTGTTTATCTAAATTATATGGTTTTTGAACTTTTATAAATATATTTCTATAATAAGTAGATAACATGATCAAGTATATAATCGCTCCGCTCGAGCAACAATCTTCACTCTCGGGATTAAAAGTGGCACTTCAGTCCCTTGGTTCATAAGTTTGACGATTTATGTCACAGAATAACCACGTATGTGTTTTGTTTATGAAATGCACCCCATTTTATTAATATATTTTACTTTTATTACCCGTTTTGAAGTTAAAACACATAAACAAACATACATTTAAATCCAAACAAAGTCAAATTGTAGGTTATTACAAATATTTTATGTGCTCTTACCCTGGATTTAAAATCCGGAGAATAGTCAGGGATTTTTCCAACCGTTTCCCCAATCGTTTGGCAATCACTTTATTTGTTTCTACGAACGTCAAACTAATAATTGAAAACTATCAACGATTCTTCTACAAACGTAAAATATTCAATGCGCATGTGCTGTTTAGTTGGAAACCGTTGTAGATCGTTCTATTAATTTCTAAAAAAAGTAAGCCAAAGTAAAACAAAAATTAATTCTTTAATATTAAGTAAGTTGAGACAAGATGTACGAAGGTGCGCAACATGTAACAATGAAATCGTTACATAAATGATTTTCGGAAAAAAAGCCATGAAACCTTCGAGTTTGAAAGAACATTTGAATAACATACATCCGGATAAGAAAGACAAAGATGTGACATATTTTCAAGAACTGAAATAGAAACACATAGCTCAGCCCATTATATCAAAACTTTTTTCAACCTCTTCTCGACAAGATGACGACGAACTATGGGCTTCGTACAATATTTTATTATTAATTGCTAAATCAGGAAAACCACATTCAATTGAGGAAGACATAACCATTGTGTTCCACAAACCAGTGGCAGACATTTTATCCGAAAAATTCATGTGAGCAATAGTTCCGGCCAAAAAACGAATCGGTCAGATGGCTAAAGATATAGAAGACTTATTGTTTAATCATCTGAAGACATGCCAATTTTCAATTTAGCTGGATGAGTTCACTTTACCAACTAATGAAGCATTATTGTTGGCATATGTGAGGTTTATCAAAGATGAGAAAATATGTCAACAATTATTATTTCCAAAAAACTTAGAAACAAATACACAAGGAGAATCCATATTTAAGACACTAAAAATTTTTTGTGACGAAACGGAAATTTCTTTGAATAATATTTTATCAGCTGCTATGAATTACACTCCTTCAATGACCGGGATACACAGAGGTTTCATAGCATACTTAAAAAATGAAGTTCTAGATGTGATACACTGCGTCATTCATCGTCAGCATTTGTTTGCAAAAAATCTAAGTGAACGTCTACACACTTCACTGCAATAT